AGCTTGAGTAAGAAAACAGCGAGACGCGTGATTCATGCACCCCGCCGCCCCCCTCCCACACAGAGCCGGAGCTCGCCATTAACCCGGCAGTCATTTAAACAAGCTCGTTCCCCCAAGTGGGGGTCATGCGCCCGACTACACAAGCCAACTTGCGCCACCGCGGAGTGGAAACAATTCCACCGCGCTCATTCAATGGAGTGACTCGGATCTACCATTCAACCATCCGCCGATTCGCAAACTATCGCGTGGCTCACGCAAATGCCAAGCCAAAGGAGCAGTGCCCGGAGTGTCCTGCTCACGAGCCACTGCTGATGGAAGGGCCTCCATGGGAGGGGGTTCTAGGGAGCCCCCCCCCCCCCCGTAGAGGGCACATTGGCCTACTCTTTCCACGCTGCCCCCATACATCTTGGAAGAGGTTGGAGTACACGCACACTTTACTCCGCCCGGCATGGCCTGCCAATCGAAAGATCACGGTGGTGGTACTCATTTATACTGCGGGATGGACAAGGGCCCGGTCCGATTGAAGAAACGATTGCATTGCTTTAACCGCCCTGCCGGTAGTTTGAGTCTAAGGGCGACCTCTGGGTTGCACACCGAGTGTAGCCAGCATCATGTCTGATGGAAGCATTCACATTTTTAGACGGAATGTAGAATGTGGATGCTTAGGCACTGTTGGTTGGGGAGAACTGGCCAAGTCGGTTTCCCTATTTAAAGAATTCTATATCTGCCAGGTGATGGTAAAGAAACCACTCATACTGGGTCAACTCAAATGCAAATATCGGTCGTAAATAGCTTGCGCTGAAAAGCGCGACAAAGCAAACACGAGAAACCACTCGAGTGGTTCTCACGTTGTGAAGGATGGCTTCCCAGACAAGTTGAATCGCCCAGCAAGCACCTTTTTATATTTTTGGACTGAATTCACTGAGCATCAGCAGAGCTCAAAGTCTAAATGCCTGCTGGACAAGTTACAATAATTTCAGTTGAAATGCAAAATGCAGCCAAGTCTCCCATCCTGTACTTTGAATCACACCACGTGTAGGGCTATGCTCTAGCAGATGTCATCAGTAACAAGAGACATGTTTACCTCCACGTGCCTGACTCACACAAGTCAGGCCAGCAGTTACAAACTCTGGTCGGGGATTGACTCAGCCCTTAACCTCTCCAGGGTTCATAAAACGTGCCACTTATTTTTGACAAGTCACCCGTGGGTCATTCTTTGGCCAGTCTGGTCACTGCCATTGCAATGCAGAATTTTCACCATTGGCTCGGGTCCACCTATGAGGATGACACGACTGGATTTCTTGTTTGGGTATGGAGGTTATTAGGATATTTAAAACAAATATTTGAAATTGAATTCAAATTGTCTCCCTGCTCAAACGAGTCCCCATTCCATTTAGCAAATCTGCTCTCGTGGTCCAAATTCCACATTCCTTTGGCAGGGGATAATAATTCTGACAAGTGTGTATGTCTGCCCTCGTGAAGAACTAAAGAACGGTTTCAGTGATGCTGCTGTATGTATGTTGAACTATTTTTGAACCACACATAGTCAACCGTGCTACCCAGAGGTGTGGGGGAAGGACAAACTAAACACAAAAAGCAGTTCTAAAGAAAAGAGTTTTCACTCTAGATTTAAAAGTGCACAGCTCCAGTGACTTCCTAGTATCGTAAGGAAGAGCGCATTCCAGACGGCCGCAGAAGCGCATCTGAAAGTGCGCGACGCAATGGCCTGTTGAGAAAAGATTGCAAATCAAGTCACGTGATTACTACAAGGACTCACAAGAGATGGACAAAAGTCAACCACGGGGTGGAGACTGAGAGAAGGCAGAGAAATTCAGAGGGAAGGAAGTGGGGAAGGGCTGGCGACAGCCGTGAGATGAAGTCACCGAGTTTGGAGGCTACGGCTGGACAGGAGTACCGAAGGAAGAATAATGGGGGGGAGGGGGGGGAAGAGGTTTTTTTGCAGCAGTGGGAAGAAGCTGCAGCCGAAAACTAAAAAAACAACCAATCTCACGCGCTATAAAACAACGTGGAAATTGGTGCCTTAATCTGAAATTTTAAGCCGTCGTCGGGTTCGCATGCGACGTTGGGGAGGGCTATTCTTGGCCGAGCGAACCGATTTGCGTGACAGTAAACAACGCGCTCGTCTGTGTGCAATGCTGCTGCCTTGGTTCCCCCCTCTCCTTTTCAGGGCCGTTTTCAGAACAACGACAAACAAAATAAGAAAGGCACAGAACTTATATATAAAAAAGCCCTCATCCAGTGTTAAGGCTATTGACATTTTCCCCTCGAGTTTCCAACACCCTTTATACAGTGTGTTAGAGTGGTTTCATTTCCTTTTTCGAAGACAAAAAAAGATTTTTCTGGCACGATTCAAGAGTATTTTTTTAAGTTATATAATGTGATCACAGTGAGGCATTAACAGGGCACAAGATGATGGCAAATGTCCCCTGGTTTGTGCCAAGAAACGTGCGGATTATTGGAGCAATCCACCTCCCCTATTTCACAAGCGGGGCATTCCTCAGCATCAGAGGGTCTCAACATTTAGTCTCCACACCTCCACGGAACATCTCCGTATCTCTACCTATCAATGGATGCGTGGTGGATTAACCATTGCAATGGCTACGATTGTCGAGGATGGAAGAACGGACTGAGTAGGACAAAGAATGGGAAGAAGGAACCCTCCTCTTATCTCAAAAAGATTGACGATCCCCTCCCTGACCTGCTCATGTCAGTCGGTGTGTGAATTGGTCGTTGTGCTATCAGTAAACGGCAAGAACTGCAGAATGCCGCTCTGGAGCAACAGCAGGAGCAATAAAGCACTCGCACAGCGCTGCCCCGCTACCATGCGTGCCGTCATCCACTGCATAGGGCATCCCTCATTCCACACGCTCATTCATATAGAATTGGTTATACATCCTACAAACAAAGAGTCGCGAAACTCAGCGTTACTTATCTGAGTAAATCGAGGGCATTGTTATTATAATAATTGTTATTTGGGTGGAAAAATGTATCGATTCGTAAGTATTTAAATCTAAAGCTGGCAATGAACACATAGAATGAATGAACGTGTAGGAATTAATGCTATTCAATTTTCACGCGTGACATAAATAATCGGTTCCATCTGCCCCTACAGCCACTGGGCGCGCTAACATTCAACGTGATGTAAAATAATGAATGGACTCGTAGCTCGAATCGTGACCCACATAATGAGCTGAGATGAGACTGGAGAAGGGGTGTCAGGGCAAGGCACATGTCAGACCTTTAACAATGATTCGTCACGGTTTCTTGACTGCATCTGCCCTTTAATGAATGGGGCGTTAAGTAAAAACATGTTTACTGCAACCCTTGATAATAAATGTATCCCCGGTCCAACTCCCTCCCGTGAAACACCACCCATTCCAATAAATCTTTCTAATGGTTGGAAGATCTCGTAAAAGCCGTCAAGCACACAAACACTCCCTGCTTTTGCGTCGTTCATTCTCGAGCACACAGGGCGATGGCATCCAGCAGTGGATTGCTCATGGCACGCGATCAATTCACCTCTGTTTGTCAGATGTAGTCCATACCACCCAAACCCTTCTTCTTCGGTCCCTATTTTCTCTCCGCCCCCTCATAGCGAACGTTTTTGGTCCCACCTCGCAGGCTTTTCTCGCGCACAAACATCTCTGCTTCTCATCGTTTCCTTTCACAGCGGTCGGGGTGTAAATGTTGCGTGCTTTGTGCTCGGTCAGATAAGTGGGTGCACCTGTGCACAATCCCAACAACAGAGCGCCATAAAGCAAGCCAGCGGAGTCTCATGCATTGCCCAACTTTACGACGACACAGATAAACAACGTGTTATTCGAGTAGCAAAATCTAATCTTGTTGCACTACGCTGCACTTAGTGCTGGCATTTTTTCCCCTAAATATCTCATTTGTGGCTTGTCTGTCACCCCTGAATGTTCGGTGATAAATGTTTACATGAGTTCCTTTAGAAGCGTATTAATCTATGACCTGATTTTATACTTTACAGAGAGATGGTTTATATTATAATTATTTTGCTCAAAAAAATTATCCAAGTTGTTTGGAAAAAAGTCAACAGTTTCTAATTTTCTCGGCATCTGTGGCATCTGCACTCAACAACGCATGAATCAAGCCCCTATTGACATCCGATGTGTCTAGAAACCGCGTCGTTTGGACAAAGTGCAGCATTTTAATGTACGACAATAACGCTAAATTATCACAAACGACACCCCATAACAATCATCACCCCACGATGGCAACACTTTGGCGGGACCGTCCTGAAGAAGAGTCATGGCACTCGCTGAGGCTTTCCTGGCTAAACAAGCGCCCTCGTAATAAGTGAACATTTAAGTCATCACGACGGATTTATTCTCACTTTTATATTAAAGATGCAACTCCTAAAGTTTTCCAATGCATTCTCAGCTTGTTATGGAAAATACAATTGGCATAAGTGTATAAGTTATGGGATTGTAACCAACTTATACATAATATATCCCTTAATAATATTAACAACAATTATGATTTACAGCCCTGACGATCCACTGCTGGATGGAAGCCTCCCCAAGCCAAGTCAGTCACAGGAGTTATTTTTAACCGTACCTCGCCACGCTCATCGGTGCCGGTTAACGAAGCGGAGAACACAAAACTGCCTCGGACATTAGTCAGCACTGGCGTTGGCCCTGGCTGGGAATCAAATTCAGATTTTCCAGCTCCGGGGCACAATTCGCTGCCACCGCATGTCACCGCTCCCCCGCCTGTTCCCCCAACGTGCGTCAACGTGAATTGCCAAAACGGCCGTCGTCACCGTAGCGTCACGGTCACGGGTGGTACTGCTTCGCTTTGCCCGCGGCCCGTTCACATTACCGAGCGCGATGCGGAACGTCCACCAGAAACAAGCAATTCGTGGTAGCCCGGGGGAGTGCGCCCGTGTGAATCCGGGGCGGGGGAGAGAGAAACAACCCACGCAGAAATGCATGTCCGCGGCACCGGTCACCTACCCTGGTACGTGTGCGTGAGCCTTGGCGTTGCTCCAAGCTCCGTCGCGATCGCGAGGTGCACAGACAGAGCGACGAGGCACGCGAACAGCATTGCCGCGGCCGTGCTGCAGCTCAGGCACGGGGCACGTGACCAACGACGCATGCCGAAGCTGCTGCTGCTACTGCTGCCACGAATCTTCTCCGCGTCCCTTTAGTCGCCACAAGCCAACGGTCGGGATGCTTTTTGGCCGTCGGGTTCTTCTGCTCTTGGGGTTTCTTTCGTCCTCACGGCGAGCTCGCTTCGGCGTGGAGGGCGTGCTTCACGAGGCTCTCAACAGAGCCATGTTGCTGGGGACGGTCTCGTACGATCCTCTTGGACAAGGTGCGGTGATGATTTCTTCTGCGGCAATAACCTGCAAATTACACGCACATTAGACCAGAAAACGTAATCCTTGCAAATACTCTTAAGCTTCTCTCACATACGTGAATGCACATGAAATATTCTACCACAAATGGAAATGAGACCTTGGTTCGAGGAACAATAATGTGTTTGTAGACCACCCACTGTTTTTAATACAGATTTTACAACATCATCGCACACAATGACAAATATCCATCCATTATCCTTGCAGGCTATTGGAAGAAATGCGGCTAAGCGAGCACTTATTCATGCTGGCACATCGCACGTGGGGACGATGATATTGGGACAGGCTCCCAGATCCAGGACAGGTTCAAATATGAATTGCCACCGATGCTCTGCAAGGCTATACATTGCGCCAACTCCAAAGACATAATTCCTCCTGTTCACACGCACGCTAACACGGACACTTCGGCCAGCACCCGTGCCACACACCAGTACACAACGATACTAACCAGGGGTGCCGTCACATTACTCATTCACGCCGCATGCTGACAACTAAGCAGGATTTACAACAAATTCCTTTCTTATACATCTGCCAACTTGGAGATTGCATTAAATGTGTCCTGTCTCTTGCTATTTAAATTTTTTACACCCACACCGACCGCGATCAGGTGATTTCATCACCGCCATCTTTCACAACACCGCTGAGTCGTCAGTTCCTCACTCACTGTATACAAGGTTAAAACAAAAATTGTAATCTCGCTTAAAAATTTACAGACGAAGGCAAGTTCAATCTTCCTCATTCGGCCTCAAAACTGGCCTACAGACCACATAAATGCAGACAAAACGGGAACTGCGTCGTGGTTTGAGTAACTGACGGAGTCTCAGTAAGTGTGCCCAATGTGCAAGGTAGACGCCGCTGGTGAAATGATGCGGTCGTAAAATACGCCAGCCTTGCGCCACGCTACCGTTAACTTTAGAGCAGTGTCATCAATTTACTTCAGCAGACACAACACCGAGCGTCTCAAGCATCCTGCGTCGAGATGTTGGGGACATTCCATTGATGAGCGCTGTGCATGTGGTAGGCAATCAGAGGACCTGGGAGAAAAAAAAACCTTGCTCTACAAATGGGTCCAGCAACCCATTTCCTGTACTGCCACCTTCCAGGTGACCTCACATCCCACAAAAAAGGTTTTGGGAGTGTCATAAATCCGTGTGGTTCACCCGCTAGCCGTCGTATGCAAAGCAGCAGGTGACAGGCGTGTGCCACCCTGCCTGGTGCGGTGTCTGGGGGCGCACTGCCACCACCCCCCACCCGCCCCCCTCGTCCCACGTGGCTGCCATCAATTACCTCCATTACAACTCCCACACACACTTGGCGCAAGGCCACGGTGCACGGCCCACGACCGAGTTCCTCAGGTGCTCTCGTGAGTCAGGGGCACATCCCCGAGTTCGAGACTAGACCCGAGGTCATTTGTTTACTCGAGTTACTAATTTGCATCACTTCTAAGGCCCAACCGGATGGAGCTGTGGTTAAGATTGCCGAGTTCACTGTCGGAGCACGCTGGCGAATCTCTAGCCGCAGTCGGCCGTCCAACTTGGCCCACCGTCTCTCCAGGGCCAACAAACGGCGTGCCGTCTTGTGGGCAGGCCACCCGTGGGTTAATCTCTCGGGAGGACAGTCGCTACAATACCAATGTGGAATCTACACCACAGCCAAGAGACGGGAGCACAGCCCCAATGCTCCTCATAGTGCAGGATACAGACTCAACATCTACAAAGGGGCCGTGAATGAGCTGCGAACTATATCATCATTATTAATGAGCGTGGCTTGAAGGGCATCCATTATTAATCGCATGCATTGTTTGGTGCCGTGCCTTCGCCGCCTGGCGAAGAGCAGCCGTGCAATAGAGGCGGCTGCGATGCGACAATCACATCGCGCGATTAGGAGAGTGCGCGTGCAAAAAAAAACAATGGGTCGGCACAGCGTGGCTGCGATGATCTCCGCCGTGCCTGCAGAGGAAAGAGGCTCCGGCTGCAGAGAGACGCGCGGGCACGCAGTGCCAGATTCCCACACAGGTCGTGAGCGCATGATGGACAACTGGTGCCAACCAAGAGCTGTATCGATTTAATTGCTTGCTTGCTTGCATCATCATTATCAGAGTCGGAGGAGGACTTTGACCTTTTATTCATTGTGCAAAAGAAATGAAGGCACGTCTCCCGCGAAGCCGAAGCAACAGATTTGCGTGCAAAGTCGTGTTCGTGGATTGTGCACCCGCATGTACAATCGAATGCCTCTGGAGAGCGCAAAGATAAATATAAAGATCCCCCATACAACGCGCACAGGTTTGCTGGGGGAAAGCACTGATGTTTGCATACCGCGTCAGGAACTCATCATAAACCTGGGGCTAGGACAACAATGTGCTTCTGACATCAATCGCCACCGATGTTGGCGAACTCACATCGCCGGATTCGTAGCGCGGCACGCACACCACTGTGCTTCCGCCCCCCAAAGCGCAACAAAAGAAACAGCAACCGTCACCACGGCGCTTGTGCCAGGCTAGGTGCACGTCGAGGCCACAGTGAAGTGTCGAACGCCCGCTGGGAGGAGGTCACGGGACAAAACCAAGGTGCCACGGGTCAACTGACTGAGATGACTGGCCTGCTGCACCAACTGTGCCCCCTATTGTGCCAACTACACACACACACGTTTGTGTGTGTGTGTACCGTACACGCAAGAAATGCAAAACGTCAGTATTCCTTCGCCGAATTGAACAACGAGCGGTTTTCGTTTCCATTGGTGGTGCCGACTCAGCGGTGGGAATTCCACATTTGCATAGCAGGGACCAATTTCCCATCACAAAAAAAACTACTTGCCGACTTCCCACCATGTGGTACGGATTTTATCGACCCTGAAAACGATGATGGGATTCGTTGACCCTTGCTCAAGTTTGAATTTGTGCCCTCACAAGCCAAAGGCTCACACAGTGTGGGCTATACCCCCAAAAACACTTGAGATTTTTCCTTATTTATTTGCATGCCAACATTTGTTTACAGGTCACTATTAATTTATACGAACAACAGAGCCGTGCATGAATGTCTGGGACAGCATTGCCTCTGCTTATTCAGTGCGTGAACAACAGTAACAATGTGTAATTGTGCCACCTCCACTTTGCACCGTTCACACTAATTGCCTTAATTTTACAACATTAAAAGCCATCGCAGCTGGAAGGAATAACAATTAGGACTGATCCTTGCAGCGGCGCGATGCTAGGTGACCATAAAACTACATGAGCTAAACCAAGCTGATCTATATTGAAAAAAGCCAAACAAATTATTTGGTGATGCTGCTGCTTTAGCAGTGGTCCACAAAGCACAAATAACAAAAGCATCACAATCCATAACATCGGGCTAAAAGGGAAAGTATATAATAGGTCATGTTTCAGGCAATGCCTCTTCTTCGCAGCACATAAATAGAGAGGTCAGAGGCGTTATTGACAAGCGCGCTCCGTTTTTTGTGTACATTTCAAAGGGTTTCCTTGTAACCGAATCAGTGCTTCTTAAATTATTCACTCTCCGATGGCTATGGGAGCCGAAAAGGGGTTGTGTAAAGAATACTTCTTTTTTAAAGGGCAGAGACAGATACACATGAAGGAGATGTACCGTCTGCTTATCTAAATCGTGAGATCGCAAAGCGGATGACCGGCCGAACCACGCTCTTTCTCACCAGCGACGCATGGATCGAGTTGAACACGAAGTTGAGGCAAACGGTGCAACGGTCACACAGGTGTCAATTTGTTCAAGGAATGCCGATGAAGAGTTGACTCGGTATTCTTAAATCGGACAGGAAACAATTCCATCACTGCTCGTCTCTGCCTCAAAAGGCATTCATGGCAGTTGCCAAAGTGCCCCCGCTTTGTTTTTAAGTGAAATACAATAATATGGCGACTTAAACATTTCGTGGCTGCAGGAATTCATATTCTTTGGTTCTTTCGGTAAAGTCACGTAGATAGAAAATAAAATTTAATTAAAAATAAAAGCAAAAAACCCACGACGCTTCGATCGCAACACAAGCTTTTATTTTTATTTAAATTTTATTTTCTATCTATGTGATTTTACCGAAAGAACCAAATAATAAAATAATAATCCCTTTTAAAGGTTGCTTCACATATCAATACTAACACGGGGGGGAGTGTCAAAAATAAAATAATGCAGTCTTCATCGTTTTCATCGTGTGAAGTTTAGAGCGGCAGAACGCTGTAAGTAGCTATGATCAAAAACATTTTTAAAAGATGAGTTACCAAACAAACATAACAGCTGCACTGACCCGATGACCTGTAGTTAGAGTTTATCTCAAAACTCCATCTTGGTGGCCTGATCAGATGCAGTTACCGATTCAGGACAATGCTGTTTGAGTTGACCCTACTTAGATTTCACAGACGATGATGATGTTGATGGTTATAATACTACTCCTGGTGTCTTTAGCAACAGCACAGATTTTTCGCTGGTTGGGGGTGGGTCCAAGCTATAAGTGAACCATCCGATAACTTGTTGAGATGCAAAAATGTTTAGATCTCGTTACATTTACCACTGCAGTAGACAAGAACCATCGTGCGTTGGTTACAAGAATAAACCATCGCTCATACAAATGTTTTCAGGCTTTACGGAAAGGATGCCTCAGAATTGAATCCTGTAAATATCGTATTTAGAGCTTTACTGGGAGTTTACCTCTGCATAGGGAATGCATCCGATGGGACATGCCATCACGAAAAAAGGTTTTGAGCAAGGAACGTTGTTTGAATATTCGGGAATTTATTTTACAAACGTATCTGTCCAAAGTATTAAAAATGTACACACACAGCAGGTTAGAGGCACTAAAGGAATTCAGTTTTGCTTAACTTAGGATTAACTTAAGATCAACTCATATATCCCGAGGCCTTTGAAAGGGTTGTTATTCTCTGCGATGTTGGGAACAGAGAGACGAGAAAGATCGCGAATCGGAGATTGGTGGCTATAACTGTTTGAGGTTGCGAGATTCGTTTAAGTTAAATA